GCAGTATGATCTGCAGTAGAATAACCAGTCGTCACAAACTTCCACTAGTCCTTCGCCCCCAAGCGAAGCTGGTTCAGCGCGAATCGAATCTTCAGGTTCTCAGGGCATGAACAGGTATAAAAACATCCCTCAACATCAGAGATCCATCTCATCGCAGCAATCAGGTCCTGGGTCCTGTCAAACTCAGGTGGCTTCGTGTTGCTGAACTCTCAGAACATTAAAGAATCACCTCCCTGAGGCCTCGCAGCTGCAATGGTTGTGGTGGCTGCGCCAGCTGCAGCCTCAGTAACGGAAGCATAGCGCTCGTCAAAAGTCTCGATCAACGTGGTCTTAATAGACCCGAACATATTTGGGATGGCGTCCCTGATTGCTGCAGCCACCTCAATAACAATGATCCTGCGGATCTCATCGTTACTGGTACTCGGCCTCTTGGGGTTGTTGAAGCCTGAACCTCGGGTAGCCACCATATTCTCTGAAATATAAACACGAAAATCTTGAGGGACAGGCTAAAACGCACGCATAACACTTATAAATCCCTACAAGCTCCCTAACATCCTAAGATTCCTTCTTGAGTCGCGCAAGGATCTGGTGCTTTCAGTATTACGGGCCCAATACTAACTTCCACACCAACCCGTGTTTGTTCCAAGCCGTCCTCTTAAGACCCTAAGTTACAGGTACTTTATCCCATGTGGATATGTAACTAATCCCTTAGCAGACTTCTCAACTAGATATCTAGGCACTCAACCTAGACTACTCCTCGACGCCAAACCGCCTCGCAAGGATCTCCTCCATCCTCGCCATCTGCTCCACGCACACTAATCATACATGATATAGGGCTTGATAGACAGTCGAATAAATGATTCTTCCTCAAGTCCACAACCAAACAAGGAACAGGAAGAAAGGCTAAATCATGCATTCTAAGGCTATAAAGTCTTAACCATGTACAACTAAGCAACATACATAGAGCAAATAGGAAGGATAGGTTCATTCAAAGAACCAATCTCCTAGACTAAGGCATCACGAATCAGACAACTCTAGCTCATAATTTCTGGAGATACCTAGCCTACCATCTACCATGCAGTTCTAACAACTCAAGAATAACTCATTTCATAATATAATCAAGTAAGGGTATTTTGGGAAATCACCGCTTGGGCTCTGGCTGATTGTACACACCGCTTCGTCCTGCTTTTCTCTTAAAAGTTCTTTACTCTTTTCGAAAAAATATTTTTAAGAAAAAGGTTCATTTCTTTTTGAAGAATTTAATCAATTCCTCGGTTTGAGTCCAGACATACCTGAGGGTGTGCTCGAATCCCTCAAACCAAGGCTCTGATATAAACTTGTAACGCTCAAATTTTTCAACCAAAATTTTTATTTTTAAAATTCCCTAAAACATACTTTTTAATACCGTCTCATGTCAAGTATAATTGTCAAAAACATAACACCACAAAACAAAGTCGCAATACCCCAGAATCTACAAATATCCCCATTAGCAGACGAGTGTGTACAATCGTGTCGGCGTCTTCCCGTGATCCTAAGATATACCTAAAACATATTTACACCAACACCATAAGCACGAAGCTTAGTGAGTTCCCCAAAATACCACATACACAAATAATTAGCCTCTCATGGCTGTATCACGATAAGGATCCTCCAGTCATGTGTCTCAGTGAAGACCCTTCGGTCTCACTTCTCGGTATGGACCCTCTGGTCATAACTCAATATATACACAGAATAATATAACAGCATAAGTCACAAAGAAAAAAAAGCATAAAACACATATCTATGTATAAGCAAATAAGACCCTCCGGTCAATAATACAAATAAGACCCTCCGGTCAATACATGCATCACCGCAAAGGTAAGTATAGTAAGAAGAGTCACCTCTCGTAGAAAATCAAGTAACCTCGCACCCAAATTGTTGTTCTAGACCAAGCCTCTCAACTAAATCTCAGAAGGGTAAAAAGACCATTTCGACCCTCCTTGGTCAAAAATCCACAATATGACCTAAAACTCAAAAGTCAACACCTAGCGCGTACGTTGGGCGTATAACTTTCTATGCTAGGTGTACAGCTGGCTAAGCATGCGACGGGGATTCTCCACCCTAGGATGTGTGTAGCTGGGAGTACGCACGACGTACTCCTCGGTCTCCCTCTTCTCACTTCTTTTGGTCTTAACCTGTTAAGACAAGCATTACAACCATGGATCTGGGCTAAATAAGACCTATTTCTTCATAAAGTTACTGACTTTAAGCCTTTACATGGCTAGTCAAGACCCAATCTCAAAAAATCTATTTTTCTCAACATAAAAGGCCATACAACTCATGCATGAAGAGATTAAGACGTCCAAGCACTCATTTTATGAACTAGAACACTATAATACACCTAAATGTATAGAAGAATAGCTCTAGAGTTCACCAAACTCACAAAGTTCCAAACTTGGGACCTAAAACCCTAAAAAGGACTTAAAACAAGAACTAGAATAAACAATGAACAAGTTTTGAACTTGATGCCTCTGGAAGATGCATCAACTAAAGTAGAACTCAGATCCACGAGCTAGAAGCACAAGCTATCCTTCCTTCAAGGTTCCTTCTCCACCAAAAGCTTCACATAAACACTCAAATGAGCCACAAGCACTCACACAAGCTATGGAAACGAGATTAAGGTTTGGAGGAGGTTGGAGGCTGATAATGGTGGCTAGAAATGAGGCCATCATGTTCTTTAAATAGGGACACAAGAAGATATTAGGGTTCCATTATGAGCCTAGTATGCCTAGCGTACCCTCTGGTATGCCCAACGTACTAGGTGGCCACCGCGACCATGCTACGTATATGAGTACGCTCCGCGTACACATGTGTGCGCCCTGCGTACTCAAATGCAACCTTTTTCACAATAAGGACTAGTCTTGACATACACATAAAAGATTAAGGTTTAAGAAGTTATACCTTTTTTGGGGATGTTACATGATAGACTGGTGAGACCGGGTGGGAAACTGGCAGGAGTAAGGTATTGGATCACGTTTAGAGTAGGATGACTCTATGGTTAGTGGTTGGCATCCGTGTGGTGGTTAGGCTAAGGTAGTACTTATCAGTTAGACTCTTAGTCGGAGCCTTGTGATGGGACTAGGTGTGAGACCGTTAGTCTCAGCAGTTGATTGGAGATTTTATATCCAAGTTTAGTGGGAGGTTACCATGGAATAAGAAGATTTCGGATAGTTGCAAGTGTGAGTGTTTGGATTTCGGGATGTGAGTTATGTTCCGGGTTAACACAAAGGAATGAGACTCGTGTTGGGAGTCGACTTTGTTTATATGGAAGATCTTTTCATCAGCAAATTTTGGCCAAGGATTCTGCCTGCCAAGGGTATCAGTAAGATAATTTAGGATTGGGAGGATCTCATTCAGTTCAGATTGCATAGGGAAGTCCTATTAATTATGTTTTGGAATGGTACTACATGTGTGGCGGTCAGCTAAAGTTTTGGGTTTTGATTGGGCTAGGCTCATTGTATTCCCGAAAAGCTCCGTGTTTTACATTCTTTATATTCATGGAAAGCTCTGGACGGGATCTACAACCTTCTTGTAGACCTCAACAACTAATTCTCAATTTATCAAAAAAAAAAAAAATTTCATAGACATAAACGGTTAGAAATCGCTGCAGAAAAGTGTAACTCCTACATACAGACTCCGTTCTCGATGTTCTCTACATTGACGGACTCCTATTGACGAGATCTTTAAATTCTCATTTAGATTATTTTGCCTAATAACCTACCGCTCTAGAATTCGAATTTTGTACCCGCACTACTGCCATCGATCTATCACCGACATATAATATTTCTCGTGGACCCGTCATTGAGTCAATGAAAATCGATAGGTCATATGTGGGAATCCAGTACGATTAATCCCTTGGTTATTGTCACTAATAGATCTGTCATTAATTCCTTGTTTCTAGTAGTGTTGGGAATACAATAGAATAAAATATAGATTAAAATATGTGTCGTGGTGGTTCCAAAAAATAGGGAGAATTTCATTTATATCATTTTAATCTTCTTTAATTACTTTTGTATCCTTGTAAAACTTCAAATTACTTGCATATCCTTATAAAACCTATAAACTTACATATATGCTCAAATACTTAATTTAGCCATATTTAATAAATTAAATAAAATAAAAACAATATTTTAAATTGATTTTCTATTATGAAAAAAAAAATTAACTTTTAACATTATAATATTACCCTTCTCGCATATTGGTATTCATTATCTATTTAGTTCATCAATCTTTATATAATATTGACACTCACATTGAAATTAGTTTTTATGTTATTTTACATGAAAAACTAGATGAAAGAACAAAATTAATTAGAAAAGAATAATTGCATCACTCCTAAGCCGATTGTAAGAGATGAAATATATTTTTAGTAATCTATTAGAAATATGCAATCATCGGGTTTTGTAACTGATTATCAAAATATGATACGATAAAGAATCATGTCCTGAAAAACCATATCATGATCAAGGAGATAGAAAGGATTGAAAATGAGTATTTTAGTATTTTAGTTATAATCTAGTTTAAAGATAATATTTTTAAATTTTTAAAATTATTTATTGTCATAAATTGAAGTACTTGGGTTTATATGTGAGTTTCTTATACGTTTATAACTATAAAACGACATAGATATAATTTGAACTTTTACAAGCATATATACTTAATTACAAAATTTTATAAGAATATATACAAAATTTTATCAAAGGACAAATGAGTCAATGGGATGGCAAATCGGAAAATTCTATTGTATTGTTATGAAAAAAGAAATTACAACGGAAAACTATTTATACTCGTTATGCACCGGCTCACCACACATCTAACCATGTTACAACATATTGACTTTTGACTTTTCAATTTTGAATTTACTCGATACATGCTATTCCAATATTTGATACATATTGATCAAATGCCTCGAATGACATGAACCTTCTTCTTGGATCGAGGACATATTCTCCGTAATCAAATCAAGGCTTGAATGCAGAGAATGCTACAACCGAGTTATGTCCACCAATACCAAATGAATTTGAAATGGCTGCATATATACCAGAAATTAAAGACTGAAAAGTGATCAACCTAATATACAAATCATTGCAACTAAACCGCCATGGTGGAAGCAAACTCACCAACGTTGATTTCATGCTGTTGTTTTTTATTTGTAACGGTGTCAAATTCGATTGAAGGTTCTAGGTTCTACAATAGGAATGAGAAGGCAAAAATTAAAGAAAAAAAAATGATGAATGGGAAAAGAATAGGAATCTAGGGTAATCAATCATACAAATTGATTAATGGTAGGGTGTAACCACCCTGTTTGAATCGCTTTAGTAGTAGCTATGGCTTCAAGACCTCCCGCCGCTGACATGGAGTGACCAATAATTGATTGACATTAAACAAAACCAAATTATGAGTTACCCCTCCAAAATACGTTTTCTTTTACTTTCTTTTTTTGGTCAATTTTGCAATCTTTGTTTAAATCACTGAATTATTGCAACTAAACATCTATAATAGAAGAGCTTTTTAATAAATAAATAAAAAAACTATAATAAAAAACTTAATAGAAGAGCTTTTTCAGTTGTTTATTTATGGGACCTTTATTTAATTGTCAAATTATAATTTGGAAGAAAGCTTTTGGATCCACCTAATTGTTGAAAAACTCAAGCCAAGAGCTTGTTAAACACTAAAGCAAGCTACTTGAAAATGCTTAGACAATAGCTTTTTCAAAGTTGGTTTTTTTTTTAATGATCAAAAAGCTCCGAAAAACTCCCATTACGGTTAAACAAAAAGATGATGTGAGTATGGAGTTGATGTTGTAGTAATATTAGCCATAAAGAGTTCACCTTGGTAGCGTTCATTTTGATCCCTGTAGTGTTCTTGAATACGTTCTTCAGAGCGTTTGCCTCAGCTATATCGCCAAGTATTGTTGAAGTTGCATGAGCATTGATGTAATTTACCTACAATCAAGAATATGATTCAGAAGCGAATCCAAGAAATTTCTTGTTATTTCAACAGGTTTAAAGGAAATTAATCTTGAAAAATATAAGAAGAAAGTACCTCTTCTACAGAAACACTAGCATTCGCAAGGCATCTTTGAATACAAGATGAAACACCAAACCCATCGGATCGTGGACTAGTTACATGATGTGCATCACAATTTACTGCACCTCCCAAGTATTCAGCAAGTATTGGTGCATCCCTTTTCATTGCATGTTCTAAACTCTCCATCACCTGCAAAAACACGTAAATATTCACATATAAGCAATAACACATGCATGAACTACAAAACGATATGTATATCAGATCCAGAGATGAAAAGTATTAGAAAGTTACCAAAACACCAGCACCTTCACCCAAAACAAAGCCATCTCTATCTTTGTCCCATGGTCTTGAAGCAGTCTGAGGATCATCGTTTCTTTTAGACAATGCTCCCAACGAAGCAAAAGCAGCAACTCCAATAGGAACAACCGCAGCTTCAACGCCACCAGCAGTCTGAGGATCATCGTTTCTTTTAGACAAAATCCGCCTTCCCTTCACGGATATGATTAGCAGCAGCACAGAAGCAAAAGTTGGATGTCGCACAAGCAGCTGAGATGGAGTACGTTGGTCCCATAAAGCCAAGATCAATAGCAAGTAAAGCAGAAGCACTGTTTGATATCTGATAAGGTATTAGAAAAGGTGTGATTTTCCTGTAACCCCTCTCTATGAGAGACTTTACACCATTGTGAAACAAGGTTGCGCCTCCAAGTCCTGATCCAACAAGCACACCTGCACGCTCCTTATCAATCTGCATGTCATCTAAATCACTGTCAAGTGTCACCAAGCTAGCCAACATACCAATGAAATGAAAAGAAAAAAAAATGAATATGGATAATTACGAACATTGGAGAGTTTATCACCGCTAATAGCAGCATCTTCAAGAGCTTTCTTTCCTGCAACAATGCAATACCGTTGACAATCATCAAGTCTCTGGTCCATTTTTCCATCAATATATCCATTTGACTTGAACCCACGAATCTGACCACCGAATCGTGTGGTGAGCTCTGAAGCATCAAATCGATCTATTAAACTGATTCCGCTCTCCCCAGTTAAGAGTCTTTCGTAAAACTTATCGGCGTCGCTTCCAAAGACAGAGACTATACCCATACCCGTTATAACGACACGTTTTTTTGCGTCTTTCTCTCGCTTTGGGGTGATGGAAGGGTGGTGGGATAATAATACGGTGCGTCGTGTGGATGTGCTGGATAATGGGGCCTTGACAGTTGTGGGTAAAGTGTTTTTGCTGACTGGGTTGAATGGGAACGCCGGGAGATGTGGTAACTTGAGAAACTTTTGAGTTTCCATTTTTGTTTAGAATGAGATCATGAAGATAGTGATGCTAGGGTAATATATACACATGCATTTATGTTTAACTCTTAACAAAATCAGGGGTTGTATTGATTGATTGTGCTTAAAAAAAATAAAGGCTGAAATGTTTTTAAGGTAGAAAAAAAACTCTCTTAAAATATGTTAATAGCAACCAAAAACAACCAATAGTATATTTTATATGGGAATGAAAAAAATTTGTTAATATTATTATTCTATTTCTAGGGAGTTAAAAAAAAATTAAGGTTATTAGGTATACTCCACAATATGTTTATATAGTTACATAGCTTCACTGCATTGTTATTCTTCTTAAGACCATTTTCAATTAAGGTTCTAAAATTCTCTTCATCACATCGTCATAACTCTAAGGTAGTGTTTGTTTTTTTCTCTGCAGATCTACGTGACCTTTTCTGTCTACGCCGCGCAGACCATGCGCAGACATTAGCCTTCGCAGACTGTTTGTTTTTTTGAAGACTGCAGACCTAAAAATGTCTGCGCGCCCTCTTCTTGACGCAGATATGGACCAGAGTCTTCTAACATCTTCAGACATCTTCTAGCTTAAAAAACATACATATCTTTACTTTTTTTAAGTTTTTTTTTTTAATTTATATTTTTCCAACTTTGTTAATGATAAACAATTTGAAAAAAAAATACAAAACTTAAAAAAAAAAAACTTTCGACGATACAAACATGATATTTTTAAAGATTTATTACAATAATAGTCGTTGAAGTTGTTTATATAAATATGAAAAAAAATCATAATATATTCTTATATTTTTTTGCCAAATTTTGTAAAATATTATTTAATACAGTATCGTCAATTTCTCGAGAAAGTATTTATGGTACGTTTTTATGGATTTAATTGAAAAAATCAAAGTTTATTTCCATCCATTTATGTATCAAATTCTTTGATCACTAATTATAATCTTTAGTTATAACTTTGCAACCAAAGTTGTTGGTTTTTATCAAATATATACGTTAATTCATACCATTTTTATTTTTATTTTTTATATAATAATACATAAAGTTGATCTAGATTAGTTAATTATTTATAACAAAGTCATAAAAATATTAAAAAATCACTTTGAAGTTTAAAAAAATCAGTTTATTTAGATTTCTGTTTATTTTAGTAGCCCACAGATGTTAAAAAAACAAACAGTCTTCTTTTTTCAGACTGCAGACGTTTGGTCCACCTCTTCTACTGCGGAGGTCTACAGATGTGGTCCGCAGACTGCAGACATTTTGCCTGAGAAAAAACAAACAGCACCTAAGTGTTGTACTTAGTACAATCTTTAACAAAATAACGCTTTAAGTCGTATGTTTATATAAAAATGAATAATAGTAATATATATATATAGATATATATATATATATATATATATATATATATATATATATTATATATATATATTACTAAATCACCGTTTTAAACCATTCCTTACAAATGACATGGTTCGTCACGACTCAAAAATACTTAAGGTTTAACATTGTCGTCAAGTATGTGTAACGTAATTTAGAACTTTGCTTTTAATGTGTTAAATTCTTAAGACTATAATAGATTGTTATATCAACATTCTACTACCACTACAAGAAGACTGGGCAACAGCGGTGACGCCTGTCGTCGCTAAAGGTTCTGTATGTCGCCGCTAATACCTTTGGCGGCGGCACGTCACTGCAAATGCGTCGCCGGTAATACCTCGTCGCTAATACACTTAGAGTCGCCGCTAAAGGTTGACTATCGCCCCTAATATGGATCTCTCAACAAAAGAGTCGAGTCCTAGCTGGAACTCGGGAGATTGACGATGTGGATTAGTAGTCCGGCTTTTATCAATAGACATGATGCAACTGAAACATAATTTAGTATTTAAGGTTTACTCTACGGGAAACAAAAATCAAGTAGAGTATTCATAAAGTTGATGATTCAAAAAGTATCCTAACATGGGAACACTTGATTTTAAAACTACTTTAATTTGATTTTACAATTAATTTATTATTATTTTTTTTTTGATTTTTTTAAAATTAATTTAATTTTATTCTATAATTAAATTAAAATTACTAGAAATACGTTGCTATTAATAACCTAATTAAGCTAAAGTTATAATGACCAACATTAAGTCACTAAAAGTATGTTACTATTAAGTTGGTTTTATAATTGATTTAATTTGATTTTATAAAGGTAACTTAATTTGATTCTAAAAGTAAATTAATTTGATTTTCTAATTAAACAAAATCAAACAAATGTATATATACATCCAATTTCAATATCCAATTTCAATTTCATGTCAAATTTCATTATAAACAAAAATTTCAAAAACATACTTAAAATGCACAAAAACTTCCCACAAATCTGAAAAAGGATACAATATTCCAACAAAATGCATACAATCCAACAAAATGCACAAATACTTTTTATCTCAAAGAGAAAGTATGTTGCTATTAATTTAGTTTAATTTTCTAAAAAAATAATTAATCTAAGGCTTACTTAATCTAAAATAAATCAATATTATAAAAAAATATCAATAAATTTATGAAATTTTACATTAAAACTTTGGATTCAATTAAAAGGATTTTTCCATAATAGGGTAAACTTTGAAGATTTTAATTGAAGTTTCTTTGTTTAAGACTAGATTTTTAATTATTTTTTAGAGCAAGGGACCAAAACCGTACAAATCAGAAGTTGAGGGGCTGAAAATATATATTTTGTAATGGAGTTTGGTTAAATCAGGAGGTTTGATACCTTTTGATTCCTCCTTCATCGCCATCGTTCTTGCAGAGAAGCAAGAAAAAAAAATCCGAATGGTCTTGTCTATCGGTGATCTAATAACAATTCAATAGGCAATTTCCAACATATATATATAGCATCAATTTATACCGGTAATGCATAGATAAGAAGCAAGAAAAAAAATATGAATGGTCTTGTGTTTATCGGTCATATAAGAACAATGCAAGAGACAATTTCCGACATATAGCACCAATTTATTATCCAAAACATAAAAACAAGTAAGAAATAGGAGCAATTTTACCTTGAATGTGAGGAATTTCCGAATTAAGCTAAGGGTCGCCGGTTGTGAACTGATCAACTTCTCCTCCACTCAATCGACTTGTGAACTGATGAAGGAATTTCCGAATTGACCAATTTATCCTCCACTCAAACGACTTGTGAACTGATGAAGGAAAGAAGCTGCAACCAAGAAACGAGCGAGAAGGAAAGAAACAACAGCAGGAGAAAAAGTGGCGAAAAAGGAAACTGGAAAGCGGGTTATCTGCACAAGTATTAGCGGCGACAAGCAATAGCGGCGACGCATGGGCATTAGCGGCGACAAAAGAGTAATAGCGACGACTCATGGGTATTAGTTGGATTGAAAACAAATCGAAGTTGACGCGGATCGCCGTTTGCGAGCATTACCGGCGACGCCTTTAACGGCGACATGGGGCAATAGCGGCGACATGTAACGCGTCAATTACATTAGACCAAAAGAATTAACCGGTGTTATCATAGACCAAAACTACAACAAATATGCTTTTACGAACCAAAATTATATGTATGGAAAGTTGTTTGTCAAAAATATACAAAGAAATGGCATGATTACTGTAAGGATATTTGATGACCTAGACCAGACAAATTTATAAACCATAAAAAGGATTACAACGATGTAATTAGTTTTAATGTCAGCTGAGACATATTTTATAATATAATTTTTAAAAAAGAAATAATATTAAAATATACATAACAAAACAAGGATATAAAAATTTTCTAAAAATTTAATTATGTAAAAGAAAAATATTGTGAAAATAATTTTTGTTAAAAATATGAAGTTTTGGTAAATATAAAAAAACAAAGTTTGGAAATAATGTTGGGAAACTTTTATAAGAAAAATGTTTGGTTGCTTTCGAAAAATAGAAAAAACAATATAATAATATTGTAATTTTTTAAATAAATAATTGGTAATTAGTAAAAAAGTTTTAAAAAAAAAGTAAAATGTAAAGAAAAATGAAAAACATATTAAGTTTTGAAAAACATAAGAAAACAAAGTTGAAAAAAACGTTGGAAAGAAAATTATAAGAATTGTTTTGACGATTTCGTAAAAAAAAATATTGTAAAAAAAGTAAATACACGTAATTAATAAAAAATTATAAAAGTAATACAAAAGAAAATTTTAAAAAATATTAATATTAACATACTGTATGTATTGATTCATAACACACTTATGAATATTATAGTATAGTTTCTTTTCTTCAACTTTTGCCATAAAATTTTTGAATTTTTTTTTATTTTTGGTCATTCTTCAACTTTTTCAAAGTTTTATCATAAAACTTTCTAACATTTCGCCAATTTTTATACCTTCTCAAATTTTTATTATATTTGTTTGTGGAGTTGGTTCTTTTGGTCTCCCACCTTCGATATTCTCTATTACTAGCCACATAGCTTTCAATAGTTTGTCATTTTTGGTCCCTGACATTTACCAAATATGACACTTCAAATTTTTGCTATATTTGTTTTTGGAGTTGGCACGTTTGGTCCCCTATCTTTGATATTCTGCTATCCGACCCTAATTTCCTCAAAACATTATACACAAAAAAAAATAGAAACAACAAACGAGAAAAAAAACCAAAGAAACATCGAAATATGTCAACATGGAAAAAAAATTCAGAATGCCACCAAGCACGAATCACCTTCTATTTATATTAACAAGTGTTAACTTGAAGGTGTGATTTTAGTTTTCACCAACTACTATATAACTAATTTTGATGCTACTTGATAAAATTTTTAAAAGTTTTACTTTTTTACAGATGGTATTCCATTATTGCATTAGAATATTACTTCATTTTCGAGGAGGTCTTTAACTGTGATGAGGGGAATGACCAAAATTGACTAATAAGGAAAAGACCGCCTCAGGCTTCACCCCAGCATACCTACTAGTTAAATTTAAAAAAAATAAAATAAAATAAAATAAAGAAACTAAATTTGAGAAAAAAAA